TGCATCCATTCTGAAAGATATGTGACTTAAATGGCCTGAAGGGTATTATCGAATTATTGACGAGGGCACACAATAGAACAATTCTCAATTTGCCAACAAATTAAATTTTATCGATCAGTTCAATCTGATGCAGTGAGTAATGTCTAGGAAACAATTCAGTAGCCACAGGATCTACCCTTAAGAGGGATATAGTTCCTTAAGGTTCAGTAGAGCTTCAAAATTCATCTAAGCATCGAAATTGACATTTGCTGAACATGACTTCCAGTGCTGAATCACAGAGGCATCCCACCCCCCGCCCCCTCCTTCCCGCCTCCTCTCAATCGAAAAGTTGAAATCTGCTTTAGTTCATCCATGTTTGAAGGTATGGTTACTGGATAATTAGCTACTGGATTACTGGCACCAACGGTATGATTAGGTGTTTTTTCGTCGTTTTCCTCACTGTTTGTTATTATCACTTTTTCATCCAAACAAATCATATTGTGAAACTTGAAATACTAAGAAAATCCGCTAACTCAATTAAGCTTTCAGGCGGCGATTCAGAACCGTTTCCCGAGGAAATATCACCATAACTCAGCGATAAGGAACGATCACCATACCGTCGTTCGGAAATTTCGGAATAATCAGATTTAGCATCACTTCCATATTCCGCTCCCAGATTGTCCGCCATCTTGGGTATCCACGAAACGATCACTCGGATGTGTTTGCCGATTTTAAAGGGTGCATCCGTTCCAGTGATAATGGCAAAAATCTGCTTCCTAATTTTGTACCACTCGTGTTGCTCTGAATTTGCTTGCGAACAATTGTCAAGATTCTGATCCCGAATGAATTCAAAATGTTAATTTTGAATTCCAAATGAATAATTAACTTCCTAAATAAAGAACAAGTTTAAAATCGACCGTGAATTGGGATCTAATTATGATTATTTCGAAGTGCGAACAATTTTAATTTCGAAGCTGCATACGTCTCATCAATTTTGAGGATCCCGTCCCCGAGTCCCCATCATCGGCAACTTTCGAGTTGACGACATTTTCGAGGTTCCCGATTGCAAAATTTTGTCCCCGATTTTTCCCGTCTCCGATTTTTCCCATCTCCGCACCACATTATTACAATAATTTAGCCTTAGATTATAAGTAGTCGTAAACGGATGGGAATGATTAGGTAGGTGGCTGAAACATCCAAGGAACGCGTATTAACTGCAGGCATTCGGGCAGGTCGATCGCAGATCAATGTGAAACTACTGGAAGCATGACTTGGATACAACGTGTTTGAATTCAACCAGAAAACAGCTTTGAGCAAAAGCAAAGTTCAGCAAATGAAAGTCGGTTTTTCTGCTTTTAGCGATCACATTTATGTGATCCCTTAAAAGCACTACGTCAAATCGGCAAGCGATGTTGTATCGTTGACATATTGGCGATATCACCGTGATCACCACCTCGCAATCATTCGTGGATGGTTATTTGATGCTTTCAACACGACGAACGGGTTTATAAGGCTGTCAAGAGAAGCAACGGAGGGCGGCTGCCTTTCCTCGATACAGAATTCTGCATCAACAGTACTTGACTCGAATATACCTGGTCTCATAAGCTAGCGAAGAAAGCCGTGATTTTGAATGAGGAATAAGCAAATCCTGATGACCATAAGGTCGAATCGTTATGTGCTCAGAGCGACAGAACTGTCATCGAGAAATTGAACGAAGCGACACGCAGAACCTACAGCCCAAAGCAATGGTTACACTACATCATCTCTTTGCTCGAGACATCGCAACTACATAAATGGATTGCCAACCATGAAAATTATTACTGATGTGTTCACATAACATGTCAAGAAAACATCCTCAAAATGGAATGTTATTAAGGCTAGAATTCCAGAATTACCTCCCTCATTGAAAGGATTACTGGTTTATCTAAGGTTATTCGACAGCAGATGCGACCACAATAAGTAGATATATGCAGAAAAAAGTGGTAGCGAAAACAATATCAAAGGAATAATATGCACACTAGCATTGAAGGAATGCTAATCCTTTTATAGTGGAGAAACTGGTCGTTACAAGCAACATCACGGGGACATGAAGCATCTGAACATGACAGACCGTGGTCAATTCACATGAAAGAATCTTATGCGGTTCGGGTGACATATACGAAGATCGAATTTATTTCACCTGATGGGAATCTACAATGTTGCAATATGAAAGAGGCATTATGCATTTATGACCTGAATCCCAATGTTAATGGTTGAAAATAAATGTTTGAAGTATTGATATATAACAACAATAGTTCATCATGATTCGAATCTGTCTTTTGTTGACTTTGATTATATTTTGACGATTGAATTAGTATGGTATGGGGATCAAGAGATTTCGGAGACCCCGTCTTCGAACCCTCGAGCCGACCGCATTTTCGGGGTTCTCGACTGGAGAATTTCGTCCCCAACCTTGCCCGTACCCAACTTTTCTGCTGTCCTTGCACCACACTAGATTAAATTGATTCTTTCACTCCTTTACTCCTCCCTTGTCGCATTATGACTATTGAAGATGATCTGGAATTCTATCTAGCTGTCATTAATCGACACATTATATTACATTATAGAGGGTACAGAAGACCAAAACATTTGCGAATCCACATTCCTAATCATGGTTTCATTCCATTTACCTTGTTGTATCTACAACTACTATCTAATAATGATAATTATCTATACATCTAACATTACTCGCACATTATTCTATTTCATACTATTGAATTCATTATCCTTACTAGTATATCTGTTCCCCAAATCACCCCGTTATGGCATTGATTTTATCATCATTGCTACCAATACTTATTTATTATTACTATACCATGTCAATACCACGCATCCATAAGTTGTAATATCTGAAGCTAACTTTGCATTCATATTCACTTATGTTTTTGATAATAACAAAATGAAATTTAAAAAAGTATTGTGGGTCTGACATTTTCTGGGGCCTTTCATATGCAGGATCTGGAAGCGAATTCTATCGTCGCTATGTACGGTTTTTTTTCCGAAGGACCGTCAAGGTCTGGACTGTGGCCAGAAAATATGAATTTCACTTCCTAGAAAAGTTGACTTTTCAGTCTCAAACAAGCTGCAGAATACTTTATTTAAATGCAACCAGATATGCAGAATCCTATTCAAAAATCAGTTTTACACTGTCATCCACCCATTTTTTGCGGAAAGCAGTTAAACGCGCGAGGTGATAAACCGAAGTTTATCTAGAATTTTTTTCCAGACGACTGAAGAGTCTCCTCAGGCACATGAGAACCTGAGCTGTTATAAAACGCTGCAAGTAATGAAGAGAATATATATTATCAGCATAAATTACAGCTTGTTTGAGAATAAAAAATAACTTTTTCAGGCAATAAAGTTGATGGTTTATAGCCGTTATCTCGACACTGGCGATTACTTGCAAAAAAACTGTAAATGGCAATGAAAGAAGTTCATTTTCAGATTGTGCGCTCAAAGTGACCCAAAGAACTTGACATTGATAATCAATATATTAGCATAAAAATGTCGGTATAACAAGGTAAACCGTCAAACCTTTTAAGCATTTAAAAGCAAGATGTTAATCCTAAATATATGCAAATTACTGTAAAGTCAAATCCAACGATTACAATCAGATCAATTCATTATAGTGTGGGAAGAAAGTTTTGCGATGGGGCGACGCAACCTCAAATAGAGGGATTCTCTGACGAAGAAACGCAGCATTTCACGATTTTATAAATCTCTGCGGAAGAAAACTGAAAGTTGACTACTTTAAACTATAATTGGATATGTTGCCGCCGTTGTTGTGCCTATGGCGCGGAACTACCAATATGTTCATTGTACACTAGACAAGGACAAATTTTCTGCTATTCATATGTGAAGCACGACGAATATGACAATAGATGTTATTGATAATGAATGTTCGATCAGTTATTGATCATCAGCAAGACGATTATGCAGTGAAAATGAACATGACGAAGCAAAAGTGTTGTGTAAATTACATTATAAAAATGAAACTGAAAATGATATGCAAGTAATGTTTCTGTGCTCGCGTCATTTTTTACAGCTAACACATCTTTGATGATAACGCATCCTGACCTGGCACTATCAGTTCTATTGGTTTTGCATTTGATCGGAAAAAAAGTTTAAACACTATATGCGAGCTAGCGACAATCACAGAGTGCATTCGAAACAATGTCAGAAAACCATCTTTCATTTGGAGCACTTTCTGTTCGCACTCCACACATTCCACACTCAGACAGTCACTCAAATCAACGCACAAAAATCAAAATTTCACCGTTCATTAGAATTTCCACAGAATTTGACAAACAACCGGATGAAAAAAACATTTATTGAGAACATTCAACTAAAAAAAAAGATGTTCAGTTCTGAACTTCTTAACTGAAAATAAACAGATAAACAACATCGTTCGTAAGAGCTAAATGGTAATTTCTGAACGCCACCATTTTCAGTGACCGATCGCACAAGATGTGAACGATTCTCTATTGTTTTTTGACGGCTGGACCTGGATTCTTTCCTACCATTGTTCCTCCACTGTCTTTTGTCTTTGTTCTCACTATAAAACATTTCACTTATCGTCTCCTTTAATTGTATTCCGCAGTGAATTGCTGTTATTGCGACTACAACGCTCAGCGGTCGCATGGAAACTTTTTTGCTTCAGTTGCATATAGTACGTAAGAATACTCAGTTTCAATTTATTCATGGCCTAAGCAGCTCTTTTTGAAGATAGGAGCTTAGTCATATCTGTTCCATTTCGTCGCAATCAAATGGAGTACGAAAATTTCGCCCCAAGCAGTTCACCCCCGGAGATTCGCCGCGATGTGAAATATTCCGCTGCGAAATATGCCTAATGATGAACATCACAGGAGCAAATTTGAAAACGTGAAAAAAGCATACGAAACCTCCAGTGGCGAACTGCTGAGTACCGAACCCCATATGTTCGATCAGACAGTCGAGCTGAGTGAATTCTATTGATTGCAGGATCAACGTGTCTCTGAATGTGATGATTCATGGGCTGATGAAAAGGGACTTAGACTGATCAATTTCGGGAAAATAATTAGAGTGCTGAACATGCCTGGTAGACATCCGGACATCACCTCAGTTTTAATCGTTTCGAAATGTAAACTTGGATCTTCTCCTGGTTTGCTTTTAGGTTCAGGTGAACGTTGAGGCGTTCCTTCACCCTTCCCAATCGTAGTAGCTGAAACGGATCTGCCAGCAGTCTTTCGATCATCCTTCTTTGACTCTTTGCTTGAACGTCGCTTCAGTTTCTCACCTGAACGACTCGGCGCAGCTGATCTCGGCGTCCCTCTTGATTTTGGTGACTGTTTCGAGACTGAGTATTCCGGCGCTGCTGTTAGCAGCAATGAAGATGCAGTAATTTCTTCAGGATCAATGGCAGCTGGCGGTTGGGACTGAGCGCTACAAATATGAGATGTAATTTCCTATGGACATAACTCTTTTATAGAGGTAACTTCCATACTGAAGATAATGCATAGGCTATTTTCTAGGTCTCAAAAATGATGCTCGCATGACGCAAGTGGTGTTCTCGCATTCCTCAGTAGTGGTTGCGGGTTTAGTTGGATGAATGAATTTCTGAATGAACGATCCATTATGAATCCTTGTTCGGTTGTCAAATTCACAACAAATTCATGATAAGAGTTTCCAGTTGTGCAAAGTAGTAATGGCATCATAACAATATGAATGAACAATGTCTCGAAGCATTAAAAATAACTGACAGGTTGAGTGCAGCTCGCGGTGTTACAACTGACATTGACGAGGGAACTGGTGCGAGTAAACTTGCATTTGCCGCATTACATAATATTCGTTCACACTCTGATTTAATCAGCATGATTCCTCGATTTTCTTCAGCTAAATCAACGACAAAAACACGGTAATTCTACGTTAATGAACTTGCCCGTATGCATCCCAAATAATGCTCAAATGAAAATCGAATATATTCATCCATTCAATTCATCATTTAGAAATTATTACGATCATTATCGAACATCTGTTGGAAAACTAAGGCTAATGTAATGTTCATAATATGACAACTGAAATCGGGTTAAACAGTACGTGCAAGAGCAGGTGCCCTATGGAATTTGTCATTAGATGGATAGGCACCTGACGTATGGTTACGTATCGTATATAAACTGGATTATATCAAACCTTGCCAGTCATCCAGTAAACTTTTGAGAACGATCCAAGATTCATCAATTTCATCTTCAGTCAAATGCTCTCGATTAATTGACATTCGAATCATATTCACAGATCGAGGTGCTACCAAAACGACATTCATTTTACCTGATTTCAATATGTAACAACAGAGACGATACGTTCTATCGTTTGATTTTTCTTTTTCCGTGCTCTGCAATACCTCTGATCTTCAGCAACTTATTAATGATATATTCAGTCGTAAGAATCATTCCTATGAGTAACAACATTTCAACGAATTTCAGTCAAGATGAACTATGAAAGAAGAAATTAACACACAAATTGAAATATCACGAGAAAATCCAGTAAAAGTTTTAAGGAAAACTTCAACATGTGAAAAGAGAATGAAATGGAAGCTAATGTTTAAGTGAGTGAATACATGACAATAATCACCTTACAAATGAAGACAATAAAGCCGAATTCATGGAATGGTGTTTTATCTTCAAGTCTTCCGTCATCGGTCATATGTTTTCGAAATCGATCTGTCATAGTTGTGATCTGAATGTAAACTGATCTTGTTACGAGTGATCCCGTCCACAAACAATTAAAACTTCCCAAATTTCCTACGCACAAAAAAGTGCTTTAAAAACCATTTCTGCACATGAAATGTTACTGGCTTTTCCATTCTCAAATGCAAGTGAATTCGCTCATATGTTAAATTAGAGATTATCAAGCAGTCATTGAACGGATCTTCTCTGGACACGTGATTCATGCTTTTCAGTCTGAACGAACAATCGAGATGAGTCAGATTATGAATGTTTCATTGCTATCATTACAATTTTTCTCCTCGTTTTCCTTTCCAATGCCATCGTTCTAAACGAAGTATTTGTTGTCAAGGGTCTGAAATTGGAAAGTGTTGTTTACACCAGAAATGTACCGTTTCGATCTGTCCTCGAAGTCCTGTGATGCCGTAAAGTCTCAACCACAAGTATGTTTTCAGCGGCTTATAACGGTTCGACGCAGTTGTTGCTATTTCATTGTATGACCCATCGGCTGAAAACGAGAGCAAGCACAAAGATAACAGCATAGAAATGCAGTTCATAAAAATAATCCAAATGTGGAGCGATATTCTTGAGGAAATTCATTAATGAATCAGTACTGAACATTGAAATTATTTTCAGTAACACAGTACTGACACTAATATTTGCAAAAAGAAGCTTGATCACACTAAATGTAAAATTTATAGCAGGTTGAATTTTTTAACATACAATGAAGCATTCTCAACATGTTCTGCGACAGTGGTATTGATTCTTTAACAGGTCGCAAATCTGTGGTCCTAAAAGTTCAAATTTTTGAATCTATGCCTTTTCATTCAAAATTTCTGTTAGCTGCCAAATTTTTGTTGCAGAGACAATTTTTAATTAGGTCACTGAAAGGCAATAGTTCTGATTTCATTCTCCACCTATCATATGTTCACATCACACTTTCCACACTCAGTGTAACTTGCGAAATCGTTTCGTTTACCGCTCGACATAATTTACATACGGTCTGTATTATATCTTCATTATGCTCACATGTGATGAATAAACAGAAGAGGAAATACTGATTTGAAAAAAGTCAAACCAGAAGAATGTTGTATGCGACGATTGAGTTAAGCATTTATGCAAGTTGATGCAAATGGAGTTTGCATTTTCAAGACCTTGAATTCGAGAGCGATATGATGGGTTAACGAGGTAATTGCCAGCATACGATGCGTCCACATGGACCCAGATGTTGTATCTGAAGAGCATATTCTTTTGAGCTTGAAATAAGACTGAATTTGCAGCGAGATATAGATGAAAGATGGCAAATCATTCAGTTCGCTGCCGCGATTCATACGAAATCGAACAAATGAAAAACGTATAACTTTCAATGCACAAACTTTCTTGCAATTTCAATGATCTTATCGATTTTATCAAATGAGCACGAGTGTGCTGAACCAAACGTTACGTTTATGAATATTGGCGTTCGTTTATTTGCAATATCCTTCTGTAAATTGTGCGCGGTAACAGAATAACAGAAATCTGCATATTATTTATCGCAAATAATTCGGTGCACATTATTTTCCAAGCTAAAAAATAGGAAGGTGGGAAGTAGTGGATAATCTACTCACACTGCATTTTCATACCACATTTATAATTTCCGTTTATTTTTCTGATGTGAAGTAATCAATTTCGCGATAAACCAAAATGATGTTGCAATTTGTGAACAATCCGCATTTCTACGAACGAGCATCTGTGCTTTTGTAACACTCACAGTGATCTCCTGCTCCAGTTCTTGAACGTTCATTGTATCATCTGCATCTGGACTGATCAATCTATCTTCAATTTTTGCTAATCGACAACCGAAATCGAATGATAAGTGCGCCTGAAGTGGGTAACTATTCGTCAGTTATTTGACTGTTCATCAACTTACTTAACCCTGATCCTGTTCAAACGAAGTGATGAATTTACAATCGACAGTTGGTTGGAAACGATGTAGTTTGGAATTAATCTGGAATTAATTGGTCGGAATTAATAAACCTCTCCTCTGCATTTCCTCGTATTTTGCCGTTGGAAACGGCAAAATACCAAGAAATTCAGAGGAGAGTGTTATTTTTGATAGATTCAATTGGAATTTAGCTAGTAGCTAGTGATGTTCACCTCGGTACATCCGTAGGCAACCATATTTTTAATTAGGAAATCTTCCTCATTTGCATATGGCGTTTCTTTGGCTTTTTTCTCAGCCGAAGCGATGATAATTTCACGAAGTTGTCTTTGACGTGCAGCCATTATTGCCGTGAACATTCCTTCGGTAGTTGTCGTCTGAAAGATTGCTCTTCTTTTTGTATAACCAATAATTACTATTATTTGAAAAATAAACCAGCATGATAACATTTCAGTATCGATATGGACTGCACTCACAAATCCATTCCACTCTTCGCTGATATTTTTATATTCGTCGAAAATTCACTGTAGAAATAATTTCCTGAATTAATCGTTTAAGAAAAAAATATTCAATTTCCCCTGTGAAAAACAAGAAAATTTATTCTGAATTTAGAACAGTTCTCCTCATGATATGACATTTTTGCATATTTCTAATTTCTAATCGTTTTTCCATATTCTATCTCATTACTTCAATTCTCCCACTTGCGAATTTTCAGATCACCTAAATATTCACTACTAATCGTGTGAATTGATAAACAAACTCTGAAAAGATTTACTTCAGGTGTTAAGACTCGAATGCTAACCAGTTGAAGTCCACCACCTTTTGACTTCTTACCGCAAATGAAATTGCTCGGTAATCCGAAGGCTTTTCCCACCCACGTTGTTGTAACCATTTCCAATTCCAGCATTCCTGGGCTTCCATCCTTCAATCAAACAATAACGTTACCCTGTAATAATGAGCAAAGGACTGTAGTTTGGTTGTTGTCTTCGTGAAAGATGAGTTCAGCAATGGCGAAAAGAGCGAGTAATCCTCCCACAGCAATCTCAGAAGATGCGTGCAGCTTATGAGCCATCATCTATTCTCACCTCAAAACGAACATCTGTTCAAACAGAATGCAAGTTATCAAGTTTGCATCATTGTCAAATTTTAGACAAGAAGAGTAGGCCATCTCCAGATTGCATAGTGCTTGGACCGAATAAATGAATTGTGTTGATCACTTGGAGTGACTGCATGATCGGAATATGTCGACTATTCGAGAAACATTCGACGAAACGACCAACCGTGACAAGTCCTCGAGCAGCGAGAATATTACATCCAAACTCCACGATTGTATCAATTAATGACTGCACACCCGGATAGAAACTGTGTGCACGAACCTTTGGTGACTGTTGGAACTGTAAAATATATTCTACACTCAAATTAAATTCGTTCAAAAACCCATTCGCTTCAGAAGTGCTCAATCAACTGCTCGTCAAACTTAATCGCCTTTCTAGCCATGTGGTGAACCAATGTTGTGCACCTATTCCGACGATGATATTTCCTAATGTGATGCCTTGTTGTCGAGCACTATTGAAATAAATGACCTTTGCTATTCTCAATCAATGTTAAGCATTTCATTCAGAAATTTTTTCATGTCGGGAACTGTCGATGCTGTTCAATGAAAATGATGCGTGCATGTGAACTGTAAAGTCATTCATTACATATTGAGCATGTATCTGTTCCCTATAATCCAAAATATTTTGCAACACAAGCGCAATAGGCGTTATTAAACGTTCTCGATTAGTAACTCACCATTGGCAGAATGGTACTTTGGAGCTCTTCGATTATGAACGGCGGTAGGTTTGGTGTTTCGTTCAGTTCGATTGTATTTTTATTCAGCTCTGAAAATTTGGAACAAAAAGGCGGTAATTTTCATTGAAATTTCATCAGTAACTGCAGTTCAATGAATCATAAGACATGAGAGTTCGCGAATCAGTCACCATAGCGTCCAAAAAGAGAACATTACTGTGCAGTTGATTGATGCCGACTGAATGATCAATGACATTCTTAAAATAATTGCAATAAACACAAACTTTTGATATCAGTTTGGTGTTGATCTCCATTCTTACCGTAGTCCATACAAAAAGATGTGAACTGGATAACGTGTTGCATAAACACTGTTTGTTCTTTGAGTTTCGCAGTTTTGAGAGACTAAAACATAGAATCGCGCATCCGAATTTCATATAATCATTGGTGTTGACTTCAAGAAATGCTTTACCGCTCTTACGAATGTTCACTTGGTTACTCCGTTCGTATATGTTTTCGATGTGTCTTTTAAGGCCACTGGTCATTCTCACGAAGAGATCTGTTGCGAGCAGTAACACAAAATTGAATTTTTATGCTAATGAGTATCAATTTGAGTAGTCCAGTCTGATCGCACTCTTCGCATCAACATATTTAAATTTATCCATTATCAGTAGCCTTGTTCAAGTTGTTTCCTAAGAATCGAACACTTCTCTAACAAACATTTCATTTCCTTCACCTCGTCAAGTATGCGCAATTAATTCGTGACTTTCAATTTCATAACTTAATGAAGTCGTCGTCATGCTTTTGTGCTATTAGTGAAACTCAACTTTCCTAAAGACTGTGAAGGAGATTCGTTCAGAATTTTGTCTTGCGTTGGCAACAAATTTCCAGCTTCATGAAGTTGATAAAACGAAATATTTTCTGAAGTGATTCGATTCATCGCTTACTTCATCGTCCTTCAACTTTATGATATTTATCTGACCGGCTGATTGTTTACTATGATCTTGGCAAATTCTCTGTAAATCAGCCAGTCTTTCCTTAACCCTTATTATCTTCCTGGAACTTCTAAACGGTACGCCATTCGTTGTTTATTATCGTCACCATCAGTTTTTTCACAATCTTATTTTCGTACATTTCTGCACATTTGCTCAAAATTTCGGCATTTATGTAGAAACAGTTCGAGAGTTCCCAGTTTTCCTTCTTCAAATCAGCTCAAATTTCCTAATCCGGATAATTCGAAGAGTAGCGGAGAGGATCGCCGAAGAGCTCAATTAAATAAAGCGTATGAGAACATAGAACGCACTTTCTCTGCCTTTTATGATCAACATAGAATAGTAATGCGATCACTAGGAAACCAGCACAAATGATAATCGCAACAACGTCTGCGAACCAGTTTCGCATTCGTATCTGAAATCGTTCCGTGTGCATGGATTTATTCTCAATCCCTTAAGGACGTCCCTTAATACTCCTGAATTATTCATTTTTTGCGATACTTTATTCTTTTTTGAATGCACAAGTGGAGCATGTTCTACCATTTCTCAAAATAGAACCTGATGGATGTGTCAGTGTTGGAAAATTTCGCTGATAAAACATCGAGGGTGTGATTTTATACTTTGGCTTAATTTCAAGGTCATGCTAAGGCACCAAAAAAACCGATTCATCGAATGAGAAATGGCGTTGTGAAAAACTGGTTGACCATTTCACGAAAACGCGTCGACAAATTCAAAGTAATGGAGATGAAATCTCCGTTCCCCATAAACAGTTGGTCACTTACCAATCCTTCTTCATTACGCTCCCTCCTCTCGTCTTCAGAGAATTGTTTGTCCTTTCCTCTTCAAAAATTTTGATTTCTATGAAGCAGTAATTCTTCAAAGCTTGCTCAACCAAACGGTTGACTCAATCGGTATCCGGGCAATCTGCCTAGAGACGTTTTGCCTAACCACAATTTGTCTAAAGACTAGTGTTCTCGGGGAACAAGGTCCCCATTGGGGACCACGACGTATTATTCCTATTTCATTACGCTCCCTCCTCTTCATTACGCTGCGCGGGGGGAGCACTCCCTACGACGGAAAACGTGGGGAATGCTCCCCTCCCCCTGTGCAATTCGCCCCCCGATTTTTCCACGGGGACCCCTCCCCTCAGGCGATCCACCCCCGACTTTTCTCGGGATCCTCTTCATTTACTTTCGCTCCCCGTCGAGGAGGACGGGGAGTGCGAACCTTCGCGAATATCACGAACAATCAACTGAAAACAGCAAAATACCGTTGCAACACTTCCAATATTATCCTGCTGTTTGTTTTGAAATGTGTGCATAAGGTTTGTCTGAAATCCGTTTGTCTCAAATTCTATTTGATTAGAGCGGTCTGTTGTTTGATTCTTCAAGTATCTGACTAGGAAACGTGAGTTTAGAATGCCCAATATGGATGTTTTGGTTCAACTATCATCTAAAAAAGAATCAAATATTGCTGAGGGGGAAGTAAACAATGGCAGATGACATTTTAAAGGATATAATCATAAAGGTCGAAAAACTTGTTATGAACAATGTTTTCTTAAGTTTTCAACTTTTCATTTATTTGAAAGTTCATGATTTCGCACTCATATCAGCTGAGTTATTGACCAAATGATTTTGAGTTATTTCGATATAAAAAGCTTGAATTCATTATCCAAGAAATCATTACAATTACTAAATCTGTCTGCTTATCAAACAGTTCAAAATTCTCACTTCATTCTGTACTGATGATGGTAATTATTGTTGAGGCATTGGACTTTTGGGGGTGTGAGGTACTGTAAAAGTGATACGATATTGGAGATAATAAGATAGGATAAAGCTGATAAGATAGAGATATTAATAAAATAAATCCAATTTATTGTGAGGTTTTTGAATGGTAGCAACATGTTATTTAAAGCTGTAGCTGTGGGCGCATTTCATTGATAAACGGTTTCATTTGACTCGCAAAGGTGACATCGGGAGGAAAAATTCTATTTTAAAAGCTAAAACGGAATTATGGAAAGAACACCTTAAAAAGAAGAAAAATTTTAAAAAAATCGAAGTTCTACTGAAAAATTCAGCTGAAATGGTTTCCGGCCTCCCCGTCGGGGAACACGGGGAGCGTTCGTTCCCTGATGGGGTCCCCCGCGCAATTCGTTCCCCGATTTTTTTGCGAGGGACCTCCGTCCAGTTTTCTCTTCGCGGGGTCCACCCTCCCCCTAAGAAAAATGCTCCCCGATGAACACTACTAAAGACAAATTGCCTAAGGGACGGTTTGCTTAATAGATATTTTGCCTATGGGAGTTTGCCTGATGGGAATTTTGCCGAATATCATTTTGCTTAATGCGCGTGCGAGATTGCTAGACACACCCGTTCAGAACATGTTGGAAATGTTCATCTCGTGGCTATTATTAGCACACCTGTACATATCAACGTTACTAATCTTGATGGCCTCAATCCATGTCAAGTTTCGACCAATGAATTTACCAAGATGAAACAACGGGTCTAGTTCATCTTTATCGCCGGCGCTGGACAGCTTGCTTCAGCAGTCTCCTTCTCAGGAACTATGTTCGGATTATAAACAACACATTTCCCGTAGGAATAGAAGATGTTATTTATTATTCATTATGCATGTTAGAATAAATGAAATGAAATTAGGTGAAATGCTGATGATAACACTGTTTATAACAGCAAGAATGTATGATTACTAATAAACACCAATGATAACAATAACAGTAGGAATAAAACAGTTGTTAAGAACACTAACAACATTAGTAACAAAAGTAAAAATAATCAAATTAATAACAAATAACAAAAATAATGATATTAAATTGTAATGGACGACTGCTGCTACCTTTATTATCATTCCTGTTGTTATTAGCATTATTTTGATTATTATCATTGTCATTATTATTATTGCTATTACTGTTATTATCATTATTTGTCATCCCCTTTATTGTTGTTATCATTATTATTGTCGTTGATGTTGTTATTATCATAATTGCTATTGTTGTTAATATTATCGTTATTGTTATTTTTTATTATGTTATTGTTAGTGTTTTTAACAATTGTTTTATTGCTTCTCTTATTGTTATTATAGGTGTTATTATTTATCATAGGTTGTTATGAACATTGTTATCATCAGCATTTTACACAGTTTCATTTATTTGGACATGCATAATTAATAATAAATATCATCTTTCATTCTTATGGGAAATGTGTTGTGTATGAACTAGGGTTTGCACGGGATCCCGGGATCGGGAGATTTCAACTCTGATCCCGATCCCGGGATTTAAGTTTTTAAAAATCCCGGGATTTCGGGATTTGATAAAAGTGGTCAATTTGCGTGAATTTTGATAGTGTGCTCAAGTTGAAGCAAGCCTTAATCATTCCAATCTCATTTATATGCAGTCATCTTTGTTGTTTGCCCTCTATCATTGATGAAAAGCTGAGGAAATTGACGCAAACAGGACGAATCATCAACGACAGCTTGATGAACTTTTACGTAACATTTCATATTCAACTGATTATTCTGCTTTTCATTGCTTTGTATCACGCTCATCTGGATGCATTTCTAGGTAGAATAACACAGGTAATCACATTTTCTAATAAGAACCAAGAGCAACAAAATTCAACGAAGTTTTGAGTCGTTTCCTCTAACGCGATTTTTTCGGCTTCAATATTCCTTTTGTTATTTGCTAATTCAACTGTATATTCTAAAGATTGCAAGCCTTTTTACTTCGCTATTTGGAAACATTTTCATCCGATCGAAATGTACATTAATTTTCACTGAGTTCTCCCATAGCGAAAATTCACTGTCTAAGTGAGGTAAATTGTTCGATTCAAAAGGATCTTAAGCTTAACTATCAAGTACATTTCCATGATCTCTGATCGAAATTATCAAAGATGTAAGTGCTCGATGGTTCAATGAAAATCCATCGCGGATTTTTTTTTTCACTTTTAAGATAAACTCTGAACTTTTCAAAATTCAAATGATATAATTTATGCGATGCATTTCATTCGTAAAAGATCGAAATTTCCGAAATGGCAGAATTCACCTGATGTTAATACTGGAAGAAAATGGACTTGAAGCACTGCAAATAAGTGTTTGAAAATCAAGAATTTCATATTCACCGGCAAGTGTACTGCTATTAGCTTAGACCCGAGAAGACAAGATGCCTTAGCATAAAGAATGCAGTATACCCTTACGACATGATCATTAGCAACATTATATGAAGTATTAACATGAATTTCAATAATTTAGTTCCTCGAATTTGTTCAATAATTTGTTGAATTAACTCCTTTCTGATTGATAATGGACATATTGGTTCGAAAAAATGTGTTT